CACCTTACCCACCTTCCTCCCCCCTCTCACCTTCTCCTATCTCACCTTCCCACCCTTGGACCCCCTCCTTGCACTGGGCTAGCCTCTTCCAATCCTCCTAGTCTTCTCCCATACCAGATCCCACCATAGATCCGCCCTTCTCTGCCCTCTTTGGGAAGTGGCAGGAGTCTATGACATTATCAAACTCCACGTTCCCTTTTCTCTTCCAGATCTCTCTCAGATAGAAAAGTGGTAGGTTCTTTTTCTACTAAGCCTTCTTCTTATAGTAAAGAGTTTCATTACAGAGGCAAAACATTATTGTTCATTGCCTTCTTCAGGATATGGAAATGGTCTTAGAAAAAAGTAAGAATCCAGCCATTTTTTAAAATCAGTTACAAGAGACCATGGCACAATATACCAGACTAGATCCAGCCTCCCCAGTGGGGAGCCAAGGTCTTGGCTACTCATTTTACTTCTCAGTCAGCACCAGATATTTCAAGAAGTTAATAAAGGCTGAGGGAGGTCCCCAAATCCCTAGACAGAAATTGGTAAAAAAAAAATAAAGTTTTAATGCCCAAGAAGAATCAGCTGAGTCTTCCCAACAACAAGCAGCTACTCTGCAGGCCCAGCCTTAGCAGCTGCCCTAAGGCCATGGGAAGGGGAGCAAGGGAAGCCAACCACAGGCTCTACCCTGCTGGAGCCCAGCCTAAGTCAACCTCACAGGCGGGCTGTTAATCACAATGCCCCTGTGCATGCTTGTCCTCTGTGCCACACCACTGAGGTCCAGCCCCACCAAAATCAACAAATGAAACTGTGTCAGCCTTCGAACTTCTCAGCCTTGCAGGGAATTGACACTGCCCAGACTTGGTATGTCCGGTAACCCTATCAGAGCCTAGGGTAAAGCTGCAGGTAGCAGTTAAGTCCATTACTTTTCTTTTGGACACAGGAGCTACCTAAACTGTTCTAACATCTCACTCGAACCTTACATTCCCCTCACAAATTTCAGTTATGGGGGTAGACGGGACCCATTCCTTCCCACTTAAAACTTTGCCACTGCCCTGCATTCTTGGGAGGACATTTTTTCTCATTTTTTTCTTAGTGATACCTGCTTGCCCAGCACCTTTACTGGGTTGAGATATCCTTAGCTAACTCCTAGGTCTCTTGAACCTTGATGGACAGGACCTCACACGACACCTGCCTTCTCACCTCCCCCAAGGAACAGAAGCCTGGCGTCTCTGGGATGACAGTATACAGGATGCCTTTCCAGCCACACCTCTTGCTGAGTGTGTACCCACCAACACCCAGCTCTCCCCTTCCCCATATCACCCCATGCCCGCAGGAAGTAACCAGACTCGAGTCAACGCCCCTTTTTGCTAAGAGAACCTAAATGTTAGTCAAAATATCACCTCAGCTTCCTGTCACCCCTTATACAGTCTGGAATGCAAGTCCCTATCTCTGGACTCCATCTTTGAAGGCCCCGCCCCTGTGCCCACTATAATAAAAAGCAGGAGATTAGACATCACGGTTTGACGGAATTGGGGCGGCGAATTCTCAAGACTGCTTCTGGCTGATTTGTGGGCATCGTCTTTTGGGGGGAACCTGAGAAGGCTGTGTGCTGGGAACCTTCTGGCATAGCTGGTCTTTTTGCTCCCGACAGGTGTCTGTGGCATGGAAATGTCTGGTGTCCCTTGTACCTGGCTAAGGTATTGGCAGAACAGAGGACAAAGTTAAATTAAGGAAAAAAAAATTTAGGACCAGGGAATTGAGGGGGGTGTATCTGACCTGTTTATGGTGGGTTCTTTAATTCGGCTCCCTGGAACTCACGAGAACTCCTTGGGTTTGTAAAAACAGAAGTTTTAGACACATACATTGTATAATGAGTGTGACATATTTTTGTACAATGAAAAGTATTTTTTATTTGGTGAGGTAACTTGACAAAACCTCTCAGCTATCAAACTGTCAGAGATCTTTGAGATGGATAAGATTTTTACTTGAGTTACTGATTAAAAAATGACAGGGAACTTACTTGGTTGGCACCCAGAGCTACTCTTTTGGGTCTTCCATGGTCGCTGAAGGTTGCACTTGACCTTTGCTGTTTAGCGTAGGGCCTGTCAGGCTCCAGAAGACCCTGTGTGCTAAGAAATCTGTAGGAAGACAGGCCTACCTTGATCTGAGCAGCTAGGCTGTCGATTCCAGCGATTCTGTCCATGTCTGGAGGTCTTCAGTTTAAGTGAAAGGCAGTTTTGCTCAAAGGTCAGTGCTCGGCAGTCGAAGCAAACTGTAGATGGACGCTTCTCTGCAACTGCAGATGGATGTTGTTCTGTGCCCATTTGTCTTCTGTCTTCTTGGAGGAAACAGAGTGCTGCTGCTAGGAGCCAACCTGTCTCTTTTTGTTATGAAAAGTTTTTTAATAATTAAATATTTAAATATCATATTTCCCAGATCTCTGAGCAGTTGAGGGCTGTCTATATTAGGTATAGCTGCAGTATAGAATCTGTCTGGAAGATTGGGTCTGAGCTTGACTGTACTGGCTCTTAACAGGTAAGATTTACATTCGTATAAAGGCAGAGAGAAGAAACTGTTTGTTATATAAAGTTAATGATATAAGGCATTTTTGTAAGAGATTTAAAAGTACATACCAGTTTAAAATATGAGACTTTAATTTTGTAGTCTGAAATGAGATGCAATGAATAATTATTATATATAGAAATAGTGAACAGGAATTGGGCAACGTTCATGTTCTTGATGGGCCCTATCAAAAGCATGTCAGTGTGCAAAATACCTGTAACAGAGTTAACGAGAGGATTTTGGTGAAAACTGGGGGAAAAGGCAGGGTATACATAAGTAAAACTGGCAGAGCTTGGTCACGTGACCTGGCTCTCAGCCAAGGTGGCGAAAAAGTCACCTGACCCCAGTGAACATGGCGGTGACCACGTGTTGTGGGGGAAAAGTTACAATTTTTGAGCTGTAAGGATTTTAAGTTTGATGAGAGGGACCTAAAGGCGTGATCTGCCCTGTTGCTGAGCCATCATGCCATACCACAAGCAGCAGAGGGGAGCAAAAGGCTGGAACCGAAAAAACTGCACCATGCCATGGCTGGAATTGAAAAGCCGGCAGGAATTTTAAAAGCCGGGGAGCTGTTTGCTATCCAGAGCCAAAATGGTGAAAACTCAGGCAAACAGACAATTTCCCCCTAAGTTATATTGAGGCCATTTCTTTGAACAGAGACGGATAAGTGTGGAGGTTTGTAAGGAAGGCATTAAAGCGTGAGGCTGTAGGGCATCCAAAGGTATCCTAGCGGGGAGGGGCTTGCTTCCCATGGTCAAGGCCGTGAAAAAAAACCAGCAAAAACCATGGCATCTCAAGCCTACAATGAGAATGGCTCCCTGTTTAGGCGAGTAGCAGATGGCGTGAACACCCAGGACATGTGGGCGGGTGTCCCCAATCCCCATGTGGGGTGCTATGGGCCTAGCTGGATCTGGGCAGGTTACTCAGAAACCAGAGGCCAGGCTGCACTGTAGCGGCGGTCACCACGAAAAGAAGAAAAGACAGAAATGAAAGGGAAAAAGAGGAAGAACTGAAGACCCTGGGCCTTTGAGGACCCGTGGTTGGGGTTGGTCGTCGTGTGTGTGTGTGTGTGTGTGTGTGTGTGTGTGTGTGTGTGTGTGTCCCCGTGTTTCTAGGGACGGGGTGGGGGAGGTTCTGGGAGCTCAACGGTCAATTCTGGGTTAAAAGAGACAACTAAAATGGGGAAACTCACGATTAGAAGCTGGTATTGTTTGGAGGGGCCACGCCCAGCCAGATGGAACACGTGGGTCATTGTTGAGGAGATTCTCGGTTCCAATTCTGTCCCCAGAAGTTGGAGCTGTGGGTCCCGGCCCCCGCAAAACCCAGCCCCACAGGCGGAGGTCTGGGGCGGTCAAATTACTCAAGTCTGGCACCAATTTTATATTTTAAAAAATGCTAGCGTGACCCTGGTGGGCTCGTGGCATGCCCCAGGCATCAGCTGTAGGCAGGTGGCGGACTCTAGTCCCAAGGCAGAGACAACTGTGGGGGCCATGTGAGCAGGTGGCAAGCTCACAGAACAACAGAAGCCCAGCGGGTCCCTAGCTGCTCGCTCCAAGGTCCTAGGTGAGCCAGGCAGAGATAGCCTGGCAGAGACAGCTAGCAGCAGGTACAGGAGACAGGAGACATGGACAGACTCAGCATGTGAAATATTTATTCAGGGGGTTATGAGGGGAAAGGGGAAAGGGAGGGCAGGGGGAGAGAGAGGGAAAGAGAGAGAGAGAGAGAGGGAAAGAGAGAGAGAGAAAGAAAAAGAGAGACAGAGACAGAGAAAAGAGAGAGGGAAACGGGGAGATGCATGCAACCCCAAGAGGAGAACAGTAAGAGTGTGTGATCCAAGATGGTGGGGAGAGGTCAGGGGTCGCTGGGAGTGGGCGTGGCTTGCCCCTTAAAGGGTCAAAAGAATAACACCCACCAGACCTTGAACACCACCTGCCCACCCCCTCCACCCCCCTCCTAACCACCCCCCTCCCGTGAGTGCAGAAATCCCATTAAACCTAGCTATCCTTTAATTTGGCTCGTTGTCATTTGGCTTGACTGGGATTTTTGGCGTAGGCAGAGAGCTGCGGTTGGAAAAATTTCTAACAGTTTTCCCCCACCCCACCGCTACAGCAGATGGGAGAAACTGGAGCGATGGGGTCTACTAGGTCCTTGAACCGAGTACATCAGCAGTTGCCAGGTAAGATGGGGATTCAGAGGTAACACCAGACCCTAACCTAGCCACACCTCAGGTGAAGGAAAATCAGGAACACCTGACTGCACCTGAGGCCAAGATTCATTCCTTCTGTTGCAGGGAAGTTACCCTTTCTCTCACCCTCCCTCAAGATGATTCTCGCCTTAGGTTTGGCTCACTCAAAGCCATAGGGGTCAGACACTAGGACAGCCAGGGACAGTGGCGAGCATTGCGCAAGCGCAGATCAGCGGGTCCTAGTGCGCACGCGCAGTTCTCTGGGCCTCTTCATCTCCTGCAGGCAAGGCACCGCCTAACGTCCTGCTCCGCCCCTTGAGTTGCCATGGAGACCCAGCGGCCAAAGCCCGCCTGGGGCAGCGCCCTGGGCCTGGTGGCCTCTTGCGGGCTTTGCCTGGGAGATGTTGCGCCGCACAGAGCTTTCCGAGAAGAGCGCGGACTTGGCGCAGATGCGGTCCGGGGCCCTGGGCCGCTGCAGGCACTTCTTTTGGCTGGGCGTTGCCTTCGACGCGGTGGGTGTGGCAGTGCTGTTCACTGGCGTCTTCGCCAACCTGCTTTTCTACGACATGCTGCTCTATCTGGGTTCCATCATCATCTTCGTCAGTCTCTTGTGGTGGATCTTCTGGTACACCGGCAACATCGAGGCGCTCCCGGAAGACCCCTTGAGGAGGACTTCGCCTCGCGCGAGAGAGGTCGGGATGCACCGCAGCGGCAGCCGTCGCTTCTCACTGACCATCAGGAGCGTCTCCAACACCTTCCAGCGTATCCGCCGGCGGAGGCAGCGGCAGCTCCTCCCGAGGGTCCTCCAGAGGATGAGTAGCCTCAGCTCGACCGACCCGGGCCAGCTGGAAGGGAACAGCGATGCCAGGATCGAAGGTGGCAGAAGTTCGTCCCATCCGGTGAAGTCTGTGTCCATTCTAAGCAATCTACAGCTTTGCTCAACCCAGGCCTCTAAGAGCCTACCTCTGGTCCCTTTGCAACATTCTCTCTCCATTTGTACTTCTAGGAGTCAGCCTGTCTTTTCGGTGACCTCGCAGTGCTACCCTCTGGTGCCTGGAGCTTATGGCAGCTACTCCCAGATGGCTTTGTCCTCTGACAGCCAGATGCCTATGGACCTTGACCCTCAGGGGCGCTCTAAGATCAGTGTGACCTCTCAGATCTACCCTCTACAACGGGCAGACAGTCAGAGTCACCTCCTGGTGCCCGTGCCCTCTGAAAGTTTCCCTGTGGTACCCGTGACCTCTCAGAGCCAAGTTCAGAATTCTGTGTCCTCAGACAGCTATATGACTGTGAACCTTGACCCTCAGGGGCGCTCTAAGATCAGTGTGGCCTCTCAGATCTACCCTGTGCAACGGGCAGACAGTCAGAGCCACCTCCTGGTGCCCGTGCCCTCTGAAAGTTTCCCTGTGGTACCCGTGACCTCTCAGAGCCAAGTTCAGGGCTCTGTGTCCTCAGACAGCTATATGACTGTGAACCTTGACCCTCAGGGGCGCTCTAAGATCAGTGTGACCTCTCAGATCTACCCTGTGCAACGGGCAGACAGTCAGAGCCACCTCCTGGTGCCCATGACCTCTCAGAGCCAAAACCCGGGCTCTGTAGCCAAAGAAGGCCAGCTCCAGAATCTTCCTTCTGCCTCTCAAACTCAGCCTGAGACTGGTAAAGCTTCTGAGAGTCATACTTTGGGCATGGAGGTTCCTGTGGTGCCACATGGGGTTTCCCAGACTTCTTAAGACTTTAAGAAGTCTTCACTTTAAGAAGTTCTTCACGTGTTCAGGAGGTTCCTAAGAACTCAAGTGCTAAAACTTCTGAGACTCTCCCAGCAATCAGCCAGAAACTAACTGAGGAACAGCTTGACCCTTCATTGCCTATCTCTGAGGTCACACATTCAGATAGGCAGTGTGACCCTACTGGCAACCTTCCAACCACCAGGGGAGTGAGAAAAAGTCACCCCTTCTAATAGGAATCAGACCCCAGACATTTGAATGTCTACTAAGGCCTTTGCCAAGTAAGTGCCTTGGAGGAAAACTTACCTACATTACCCTTTTTATTGTCACTGTCCTGGTAGCTTCTCAACTGCTATAATGAGAACAAAGTGGCCTTGGACTTCAGGGATAAGCCACTTTGAGAGTTGGTAGGCTTTAAAAACTAGTTCTCAGATTTTGACTACTTTATCAGACAATAAAATGTTGTTTTGTTTAAGGTTAGAGGAGAGGCCAGAGGTGTATTGTTTTTTAGGAAGTCCTGAAGAGGGAGGTGGAGGATTTGGATTCTGCAAGGCTTCTCCTGGAAGAAGACAACTTCAGTTTGCACAGGGACATGACATTAAATGACACTGAATCTTAGGAAGGGAGTTAATCTTTTTCAATATGTTTGGTTTTTGCCAGAGAGGCTATATTTTGTTGGGAGACAGTGCTCTTTAATACCCTCTAAAGTTTCAGTAGGCTAAAACTATACTCAGCTAGAATTTAATAATCTTTGTATTCGCACACATTTTCATTGAGTTACTTCTACTTAATGCCAAGTTATATCAATTTCCCGTTTACAACAGTGATGTTTGCTATTTAAATACATTACCTAAATAACACACTTTGAATGTATAAGAAAAACTGGGTGATTCTAAAGAGAAAATGCTGGGCCTGCGTTCGCTAGTTTACTCACTCTCCTCTTACTCTCATCTCTTTCTTCGTTTGTATTTTATTGTTGCTGTCCTGGAACTCACTCTGTAGACCAGGCTGGCCTCGAACTCACAGAGATCTGCCTGACTCTGCCTCCCCAGTGCTAGAATTAAAAGTGTGCCCCACCACCGCCCTGCTTGTCCTATAAATCTTTGGCTGTTTTATATATTTTGAACACCTGAATTCTATAAAACATATCCAATGACTATGTTCCTTTCTATTAAAAGATCTGTCTTAAAATTTTTTTTTAAAGTGGAGTGTGGACCCTGGTGGAGTGGCTTAGTGACAGTTCTTACCTAGAATACCCATATTTTTGGGCTGAATCTTCTATGTTTTACCAAAAAATAATAAAAGAGATAGGACTGGGAATGAATCTCAGCTTGCCTGACATCAGTACTGTGTGTGTGTGTGTGTTTGTGTGTGTGTGTGTGTGTGTGTGTGTGTGTGTGTATGTAACTATATATAAGCAAAACAATTTTAAAAAGAAATTGGGTGCGCTGGGTGTGGGTGTACTCATGAGGCAGAGACAAGCATAGTCTCTGAAAACTGGGGACCAGCCTGGTCTACAAAACAGGTTCTAGGCCATCCAGGACTGTCTCAAAAAAAAGAAGAAAATCAGAAAGGATTTAGGTTATTTCAGAAAGCCATTTCTTGCCCCACCCTTTATTCTTTGAGGTACTTCATATGATTGAAATAATTATCTAGGCAGGTCTTAAAGACAACACTAAGTACCAGGAATAAGGTAAACATAAAGATACAAGGATGCAGGTCTTGTCAATAGAAAGTTTTGTAGTCTTTGTTCTCTGAATCAAAACAATAGTTATGAGGATGACTGAAGGTCAGCTAAGGAAAAAGGAAGTATTAGCAGGCCAGTGGGAGTATTATATTTTTGACAGGAGGAGCCAATCCATGCCCTTCAAATAATTAATTCATAGGCCAAAAATTTGTATTCTTTCTAGCAGATGCTAGGCATTGTATTAAGTACTGGAGAGCCAGTGCTATATTCGGAGGTCCTGTTCTTCACACACTTACCATTTACCAGGAGACTTGGACACTGAAATAACCACTGAAATGTAATAATGTAATAATACAGTGCTTCAAGAATTCCAGTGAGGATGTGGTGAGGGAGGTTTCAATTGGATCCAAAAGTAGATTTTCACTGGGTGAGGACCATAGGTAAGAGTATCAAATATGAAGGAAAAACTCTCAAAAAGAACAGAAGAGGGCCTGGAGAGATGGCTCTGCAGTTAAGAGGGCTTGCTTCTCTTCCAGAGGACGCAAGTTTAGTTCAAGCACCCATATTGAGTAGCATCCAACTGTCTATAACTCCATTTCCAGAGGATCTGATACCCTCTACTAGCTTCTGTGGGCACGTTCACAGGACATGGCATGTACACAAACACATACACATAAATAAGATTTTTTAATTTTTTTTTGGCTCGGCAGTGGTAGCCAACGCCTTTAAAATCTTATCACTCAGGAGGCAGACACTGAGTTTGAGACCAACCTGGTCTACAGGCTGAGTTCCAAGATAGCCAGATCTATACAGAAAAACACTATCTCAAAAACAAAAAAAAATTTTGTTTTTCTTGTTATTTTTCAAGACAAGGTTTCTCCGTGTAGCCCTTGCTGTCTTAGAAAGTTACACTATAGACCGAGTTTGCCTCAAACTCAGAGATCCTCTGCCTCCCAAATGCTGGGATTAAAAGCATGGGCCGCCATGCTCTGTGAAAATAGATTAAATAAATAAACAAATAAAATAAATCTTAAGCAAGACATAGTGCAAATAACTTTGTTGTTGGTTGTTTTTTGTTTGTTTGTTTGTTTTTGATACAGATTTTTTTGTGTAACAGCTCTGGCTGTTCTGGAACTCAGTTTGTAGACCAAGTTGACCTGGGATTAAAGGCATGCACCACCACTGCCCAGTACTACACAAGTTTAATCAAAGACAGGCAGATCTCTGTGTGTTTGAAGTCAGCCTAGTCTACATACCAAATTCCACAAAAGCTAGGGCTACATGGAGAGACCAAGTCTAAAGAAAGAAAGGAAGGAAGGAAGGAAGGAAGGAAGGAAGGAAGGAAGGAAGGAAGGAAGGAAGGGCCGGGCGGTGGTGGCTCATGCCTTTAATCCCAGCACTTGGGAGGCAGAGGCAGGCAGATCTCTGAGTTTAAGGCCGGCCTGGTCTACAAGAGCTAGTTCCAGGACAGGTTCCAGAGCTACAGAGAAACCCTCAGGGGAAAAAAAAAGGAAGGGAGGGCGGGAGGAAAGAAAGAAAGAAAGAAAAAAAGAAGGAAGGAAGTAAAAAAAGAAAGAAGGAAAGAAAGAAAGAGAGAGAGAGAGAGAGAGAGAGAGAGAGAAAAGAGAAACACGGAGGGGTTTGGATTTAGTAGCTAAGCCAGTTTAATGCATGCATGCATACATATACACAATGCTGGACTTAGGCTTCTGCGCACCTGTAATTCCAACACATAGGAAGTAAAGACAGGAGGATCAGAATTTGAAGGTCATCATCGGCTATATAGTGAGTTTGAGGCTAGCATGGGCTACATGAGCCCCTATATTTCTGAATATGGGTAGTGCATGGGAGTGTATGTGCCAGTTGAAGTCAGAGGCACCACATCTTCTGGAGCTGGAGTTAACAAACAGTTGTGTGCTGGGAACTGAATTTTAGTCCTCTAGAAGAGCAGCAAGTGATTTTAACCAATATGCTCGCTCTCTGGGACTTTTTTTTTTGACAGAATCTCAGGTAGCTCAGGCTAGCCTCAAATTATGTCTTTGGCCAAGGATGACCTTCAACTTCTGATCCTTTGGCCTAAATATCACTACCCCAGGTTTGTGAAGTGCTGGGGATGGAACCCAGGGCTTTCTGCATTCTAGGTAAGCAGTCTACTGAGACCCAAGCCCAGCACACCACACTTAGCTGCTTTGCAGAATCTTTAGCAGGGTTGAGCTGTGTCTGTTGTTTGCAGTTCTACTTGGGACTGTCTGTAAAGTAATGGAAGTAGGCAAATAATTGAGATAAATTTCTAAGGTGTTCTCCATTTAATTATAAGCCCAAAGTAGACCTTTTAAATGTTAGCAACAGTTCCTAACCAAAGTATCGGCTCCATCAGTGTTCATCTTGCAAAATACTTCCAGGTGTTTAATTTCTTATAGAGATGGCATCATGTGGAATTACTGTTTACTACAATAGCCCATCTATGCATGTTATTAGCAAGGTAGGTACTTATCTAAAACAGAAATATATGTGTTTTTCCCTTTAGAGGTCAGGGTAGTAGATATTTTTGATTTTATGGGTCAAAAGACAGAAATCAAAGATGTAAGTATCCTGGCATTGTGATACATGCTGTTAGTCCCATAACTTTAGAAGTAGAACTCTACAAATTTGGTGCCAGCCTGGTTTGTACATCCAATTCCTGGGTAGCCATGGCTACATAGTGATACTGTCTTTAAAATGTTGTGACTTGTGTAACCAAGGAGAAACCCCACCCTAATCTGCCTGCTTGCCTGGAATGGGCTCTGTAGCTCCTTTGGCTCCAGTTACCTCATCTGGAATCATTCATTTAACCAAGAACAAGTGACATAGGGAGAGGGGACTTGGTAGGGCAAATCTACAGCCAATACCACCTTTTCACTCTGCCCTAGGGACACCCTGATGTGGTCCACTATTCTCTCAGAATACACAGCCTTCTTAGTTTGCTGGTCCAAGATGAGGCAATTTGCTAGGCTTCTGACTCTCAGGGCCTGGTATTTGCCAACAATAGGGTTCATGTTGTATGGCAATATCTAGGTTCCTGAGAAGGCCATTAGTCAAAGAGGCAGGCCCTGGGAATGCTTATCTGGAAATTGATTCGCTAACTTGGTTTTTGAAACTCACCTTGAGACTCTTTGATGGCACAAAGCTGGGATAAGGAAGGTGCCCTCAGTACCTAATGTATAGAGAGCAGAAATGCAGTGAAACACCCAACAGTGGACAGAAAAGCTTGTGTGACACAGAACTGTCTGACCCACAGTGTCAGTAGTATGAACTCAAGAAGCTCAAATCTGTGTCACTAAAACTTAAGACCCTTAGGTTACTTCTTATGTTCCTTATCTAATAGACCACGAGAATCTTATTTATCTATGTTTCATTGATCTTATAACTCAGTTTGTATTTGAATAAGCATGCACGAATTTATTATCAATAATAGCTATTGGGTATTTATAATACAATAGGAGTGACTCAAGGGCATTCATCATGAAATTAGATACTGTTGTTACCTCCACTTAAAGGATGGGTTTGACACTGAGAGATTAAATACATTTTCCAAAGTCATACAAATACAGGTGTATGGTATGTTTTATATGGATATATGACAAAATATTCTTCCATATTAAAGTTATTATTCAAGTAGGTGTTCATAACTATAAGCTCAGCACTCTGAAGGTAGAGGTAGGAGGATCAGGAGTTCAAGGTCATCTTCAAGCATAAAGTGAATTTGAGGCCAGCTAGAGTTACATGAGACCTTGCCAATATTATTAAGGAGCCT